ATGTCCTTCACTTGTTCAGTTGTCTGGAAGCTTCCTGAATGCCACTTTTTGGAGGTTTTTTTTTTTTTTTTTTTGTCTTTTTAAGTCAGGGTCTCACTATGCAGTTCAGGCTGGCCTTGAGCCCACTTTGTAGCCCAGGCTGGTCTCCAACTTGCAATGCTCCTCCTGCCTCAGCCTCCCAAGTGCTGGGATTACAGGAGTGCACCACCACACCTGGCACTTTTTGAGTTTTTAAGGACATTTTGGTAGGTATACTTGAGTAGATCATTAGCCTCTAATGTTCCACTTAACTTTCAGCTCTGATTTGCCAGCCTCTACAGAGGAAAAATGGGCTGATTTCTACTCATTCCTTTGTTCTGCCTAGGTATCCAAGTGCCTCTAGCTGCCATTAAAGCATTGTTTACAAAAGACATTCATCACTCCCTGATATTCCAAAGGTGTTAGCTGAATGTCAAAAAATGAAACAAAAATGACATTTAAAAAATGACATATATATTTTCAGATAATGTTACATCTGTTGGGCCTGGGGTCTAGGAGTCACCAGATATACCCTTGTCAGGCCTGTCTCTTCAATGAAGAAAGAGGAAGATGAGTCAGAAAAGACCAGTGCAAAGCAAAAACTTTATTGCAGGTATTTCAGGAAGCAGTAGAAAGCCATTCCGGGAGTAAGGGTGCCCGAGATACCACCTACTCTGGGGCTGTGGTCCTGTTTTATGACATATGATCCCAGCTCTACACTCTTAAAGGTTGACAGTTGATGAGTTATCAGACTTGAAGGGGCCAGAGTAAGTAGGCTGATGAGAATTTTGTTTGCCGATTTCATTTAGGGAAAAGTAATCTCCTTAAAGAGGGCCTTCAGAAACAGTGTAGCTCCACAAGAGGTGTCAGAACTGCAGACTGCCAGCTCTGCTGCCTGCTGAGATACAAAGGCCTCTAAAAGGGGTCCATTCCCTAATCTAGTTGTACCTAAGAATCCTACTGTCCCTACATTAGTATGGTATAGTGCATATGTTAGGAAAAAAGGAAAAGGAATTGAGCTCAGCAGCCTTCCCAGCCAAGAACAGGTTTTATTTTGACTAAAAACCTGAGAGGGACTACTGGTGAAAGGCATAAGAACAGTGGTTGATTTTGTTATTGTTTGTTTTGCTTTGGGGTTTGTTTGTTTGTTTTTTGAGAGAGGATCTTGCTATGCGGTTCAAGATGGCCTAGAACTTGCAACAGTTCTCCTGACTCAGCCTCCCCAGTGCTGGAATGACAAGTGTGTGTCACCACTTATCACAAGTTTATGGTTGCTGGTAGAAGATAACAGATTCTTGAATCAGAGATGAATGATCTTTTATTACTCCTAACAAGTGCAGTGACTAGATTATTACCTTTTAACAACATTTTTTTTTGGTTAGTACCAGGAATTGAACTCAAGACCTTGTGTTTGCCAGGCAGGCGCTTATGCCACTAAGCTATATGCCCAACCTAAATGGCCAGATTATTAATTATAATTAATGTAGTTGGTTCCTTTAACCCCAGTTCCCAGAGCCAGGCAAAGTGCCAGGCAAAGAGCCTGATAACATTGCATACATACTGGTTGCCTTTGTAGTAGAGGAACCCTGAGTTGAGGAAGCATGAATCCTTTCTATTGGACAGTATGCTCTTTGCTGCAGAGGGAGACCTTTTCTTTATTATAGCAGTCAGTAAGCATGCATTTGCGTTGTTTTAGATGATCCTATCTGTCTCTTCAAAAGTTTATTCTACAAACATCTTCAGAAAAAACAAAGGATAACTAACACTTTCGTCCTGGAATGTGCATTAGCAGGAGAGACACCATGGAGAAGACTCATCCCACAGTATTCTTTGCAGCTCTTCTGTGCTTTTGCTTGCTCCTGTTGGGTAGATGAGTATAACAGCCACTGAAGCTAGGGAGTACACTTAGTGGTTCCTATGTTCTAGTAAAGGGAGACAGTCTGATGAGAGACAAGACATGCCTGGAATACTTTTAACACAGTGATCCAGGAGCAGTAAAAAATGTGAACCACACTAGCATTGCTCTCACTAAGATTTCTCTTTTGTACTAGATGTCTCTCCCCCTTTCTACCCCAGTACTGTACAGAGAATTGAACCTAGTGGTTCTGTACTTTGCTATATCCTCAGTCCTTTTGAATTCTTTTTATTTAAAGACTAGATTATTTAAAGACTAGATTATTTAAAGACTAGACTATATTTCCAAGATGGGACTGAAATTTGCAATTCTCCTGCCTCAGTCTCCCAGAGTGCTGGGGTTACTACAGTTGTACACCACCACACCTGGCTGATGTCTCTGGCTTTGGTAACATTCATCCATTCTCCTGTTTGAATCTCTTGCCTCCCTTGCCAGCATAAACCATTTTTCAGATTTTTCTTTTACCTCTATCTGCCCTTTGCTTTTTTTCCTCAGCCTGCCTCTTTAGATGTTAGTGGGAGACCCAAGCATATAATACCAGCACCCTGGGCAGCTAAGATAGAAGGATCTCAAATTCAACCTCATACTCGGAAAATTAGCATGACCCTGTCCAGAAGGGAAAAAAAAATTTTAAAGGGCTGGAAAAGTAAGTAGCTCAGTGCAAAAGCCCTGGTTCAGTTCCCTAATATACCTTTCACCACAACAAGAAAGATGTTAGTGGGCCTCAGGACGTGAAGACACTGCAGTTTTGGGACACATTCCACCCATTCCCCCACACCCTGCAGTTTAAGTTTTAGTGGTGATTTCTGAAATGATAGTAACTGCATAAAAAGACTATTTGATGTTTATTTCACATGGTTTGAGCATCTATTTAGACTAACAATCTATAATCTAGTTATTAACAGTAACTACAGTAACTATGGTTGATTTCCTAGAACTGTTTTGTTTTTGAAATCCAATATTGTTTCCATTGTTTTTTTTATTTTATTGTTTTGTTTTAGTCTTATTAAAAAAAACAACAACAACAGTGGTGAAGTTAAAGGTCCCCATCCAGCCCAAGAGAGTGTGTGTGGATGCCTTCTGGTAATAGGTGCTTGAGATTCTGTGAGTACACAGCTGTTTATACTCTTCAAAACCTTAAATCTCATGCATGTGGCAGGGATTAATCAAATAATCACACAAAAGAGGTGTTTGATCTGTTGAAGTTGAGGAAAGGCTTAAGGAAACAGAGACAGTTGCACAGATGTCAGAATGATGAAGTGAAGCTAAGTTGAGGGGAGAATCCCTGCTGGAGAGAGCCACCTGTGAACAGGCCTTAGGCCACAAGGGAGCCCTTGGGAACACAGGGTGTGTAGTTGAGCTCAAGTGGAGGAAAGTGAGCCTAGGGCATGGTATGAATGTAGAAAAGCTTTGACCTTAACCCAACAATGGGAAACCACACAAGTTTAAAGCAGGGGGATAATATTTTATATTATTTGTTTAATCACAGCCATATTGTCTCTTTCCATTCCGAATTCCTTGATTGGGAATGGGAGCCCCAACAGGATATATCGCCTGTCTTTTTGCTCACAGGATAAAATTTAAAACTCAAAATAAATAAATAAATAATAGGACATTAGGTGCAGACGTCATAGCCTTTGGCTTTGTGTGGGGACTTCCACTGTCCACTTTCCATTTTTTTTTTCCTTTCTCCATGAGACGCCATCTTGGCTGGGTCCAGCGGTCTCAACTGAGGCGTGCAAGGGGTGGTTCCTGGCAGCGCGCTGGTTGGCCATCAGCATGGCGCTGGTGGCGCAGAACTGGCGGAAGTGGGGCTGGCTTGATTAGAGGTAAGTGGCTTAGAGATTGGGTGTTTGGCGGTGCTATGTTAATGAAGGTGCCAGCGTGAAGTAGTTTTCAAAAAGGCAAGAGCGTTGAAAAGTGGTTTTTTGTAAGTCTGGTAAGGGAAAGGCTTCCTCCAGGGAAGCTAGAAGTGTGCATTTATGTGAGCCGGTGTCCCCAGAGGTAGTGACCATCAGCGTGATATGTGTGTATTTCAGGAAGGAAGCAAAGGTGGCTGCACACCAGCAAGTCTATAGTTTCAAGGGTCACTTGTTTTTTTCTTAAAGAGAAAAAAAAGAAAGGAAATAAAATAAAAAAATAAAGCAGTAAAAGGGTATAAATAATACAGAATTTCAAGGAAAAAAATACAGTAAGATATCACTAGTTAATAGGTTACATATTGTCATCTTTGAAATAGTTGTCCAAATTATAAATTAAAGCATGTAAAGTGAACATTCATACGATGAGATTGCGCACAATGCTAATCAATGATCCAACAAAAGTTCAGTAATATGGATTTCCATCCTACACACTCAAACATACATGCAGTTATATCCCTTAGACCATCTTCCTTTCCTCTCTTTTTAATAACAACTACACTTTTTGGGTTTTTTTACTCCCACAATTCTTATTATTTTTTGGAAAGAATAAAACCTAACGTGGCTAAACAAAACAGAGTCAGTTAGAACAAAAGGATAGGCATAGTACATGATGTAAAAATAGAATATCAGGTGGTCTAAAATGGTTACCATTGTGCCTCTTGCTATTTTTTTAAAAAGTTGCCTATATCGTCAGGTATAATAGAATTGATCAAAACAGTACAGAACAAGACCAATAAAACCTACACTGGAGACCTTACAGGACTTCAAAAAAAGATAATAGTCAAACTATAATGGGCGTCATAGTATATCTTATTGCCTTCAAAGTGGTTGCCTATACCCTCAAACGATACTATCAAACAAAACAGAATATAGAATAATCAGACAGAACAAGATGGGGAGAGCAATACTGAGGTTCAAATCAGGTTAATAGGAAAACAAAAAAGTTACTATAATATGTCCCGCTAGTTTTTAATTTAGTTTTCCCTTAATTGAAAAAAAATGTAAGAAAAAATAGATTAATTTTAAAAAAAGGATGGGATTGAGGTAAAAGAGGACATTGTATTAGAACAACATAGGTCAGAACCGAACAATTTAAGCATCATTGTGTTTCATCCCCAGATAATCTAACATAATAGTAGTCATCATAGTGCCTCCTTCCTTGTCAGGGGTCATTTCTATAGTATGTTACTAGAGAAGTCGCTGTGATCATGTGGAGTGCCAGAGACCACAAGGAATAGTGTTTTTTCCTGAGTGTCAAGTTGCATCATGGTGTTGTTGCTTGAGTACAACTGCCACCTTGATCCGGCCCGCCAGTCAATCTGTGGGTCTCACCTGGTGGATGAACGGGGTGGGGGTGGGGCAAAGGACAAGAGGGGAGAGAGACGGAGACAAGTTGAGGAAGTCCAATCAAGTCTCGTTTATTCAGGAAGAGGTTGCAGCTTTTATAGAACAATGGCGGCCTGGTGGGACAGGAAGAGGCTATGTGGTGATCTCTGGTAGGCTGCCGTCTCATTCAGGTATGTGAGGTAGACAGGAGAGGATCTTGGGTAATGTAGGCAGATGCAGTTGGCGCCCAAGGGAAAAGGAAATGAGGTGGCAGCAGTGAGACAGTCACGCCACTCCCTACACCACATGTCATTGATAATTGTTTTTCCTGTCTTCTTGGAGAGAGCAGGAAGGAAGGAATGCAGTTTGAGTGGCTTCTGTTTCTGTTGAAGTAATACTGAAGGATATTGTAAGATGACCAGTCCAATTTGTATATATATTTTAGGCTTGCTCTTAGTTCTTCCCTGTGTGTGATATTTTTAATATGTGGGTGTAGTATGTGTTAATTGGGAGCATTTCAACCCTTACTAGTGCTAGTATTCTCTAGTGGCAGGATTCTCTAGGTGTTGTAGTGTGGGGTGGAAAGTAAAAATTTCAAAAACCTCACAAAAAGATAATATTGTTTGAAATGCTGAGGTACTTGCACAACAGAAATAGACTTAATCTCAGACTGATTGTAGTGGGTATGGTGATGCTGAATGAAACAGTTTAAAGCTTACTTTCAGTGGGTTTTAGAGTGAAAGGGTGTTTACTCATAGTAAAACTGAAGTTTTTTTTCTTGTGAACTCCATCCTCAGTTTTACTTGGAGACAAATTTTTACTAAATCCAGCGTGATCATCATTTTTTTCTTTTTTCTCTTTTTCTAAAATTAACATTTTTATTGCTTTATTTAAAATTGATCTTTTTGTTTTTTTTTTCTTTTTTTAGTTTATTTGAGACAAGATTTCACTATGCAGTTCAGGCTAGCCTTGAACTCACTTTATGTTTCGCACTGGCATCACATCAAGTTGATTCTGATTTTTCGACTCTCCTGCTTTAGCCTCCCAGAGTGTAATTGCAATTATTGATAGTTTTTGTTTGTTTCTTTGTTTTTTTGGACTTCCATGATAGCATGGAAATTGGTCTGTTGTGTGCCTTTCCTTTGCTGAATGACTCCATAGTTTAGAGATATTTTCTAGGTAAAATGGCCTAGTCTATTAATTTTTTATATTATTGTCCTCCCAACATAGGTATTATTAATTCTTTCATATATTTTTATGACTAAGAACCATTTAATTCATTCCACTGAAATTTTTGGTTTTCTTTTTTGTTTGTTTTGGGTTTTTTGAGACAGGTTCTCCCTATGTAGTTCAGGCTAAGCTTGAACTTACTATGTGGTCTAGGTTGGCCTTGAACATGCTACAGTTGCCTTCATTAGCCTCCTGAGTTCTGGGATTACAGGTGTGTACCACCATGCCCAGGGCTTGTTTTTAATTGGAGTTTGAATCCAGGGCCTTTGTGCTGAGCGACATTTCCATCCTCATTTAAATTTTTTTTTTTTTAAATTTTGAGACAGAGCCGGGGATTTAGCTCAGTGGCATAAGTGCCTGCCTTGCAAGTATGTGGTCGTGAGTTAGATCCCTGGTACCCCCCCCCAAAGAAAAACACTTTTTTTTTTGAGACAGAATCTCACCAAATTATGTAGATTGGGCTCAAATTTATGATCCTCCTGCCTCTGTCTCTCAGAATGCTTGGGTTATAGGCATTTACTTGCACAACTATCTGGGATGCCTTTTACATGATCTTTGATGTTTTGTGTTTGTGTGAAACTAATAGAAGGTGTGATTTTCTGACTTTTCCTTTTTCTTTTGCTATGCTGGATTATGCAGGGCTTTGACTATGTTAGACAAGTACTCTACCACTGAGCTATACCCCTAGCCATTTTCATTTTTAAATTTTGAGATAAGGTCCAGTTAAATTCCTCAACTGGTTTTAAAGTCCTGCTTCCTGCCCAGCCTCCCAGGAGCTAGGATAACAAGCACTTGGCACCATTGCTGGTGTCATTTGTGTGTGTGTGTGTGTGTTTCCTTTTTATTTTTTTTTTTATTTAAAGAGAAAAAAGACAGTAAAAGGATACAAGTAATACAGAATTTCAAGAAAAGATATACACTAAGAAATCACTAGTTAATAGATTACATATTGTCATCTTAGAAATAGTGGTTCAAATTACAAAATTAAAGCATACAAAGTGGACATTCAAACAGTGAGATTGCAAACAGTTCTGTTCAATGATCCAATAAAAACTTAGTAGTAGGGTTTTCTATTTTACACACTGTTATGGATTGAGAACTTGTTGTCAGCTTAACGCCAGCTGGATTACATCAGCAAGGCATTGAGTGAAGATTCTCTACCTGATAAAAGTTGCCAGGATAAATAGGTGGAGAAGAAGGGAGGGCTGAGGTGTTAAGGAGACATTGTGAGTTCTATGAGTTGCTGTCTGAGCTGTTGGTTCTCCTGAGAAGCTTTGGTCCTCACATCGAGCATTGCTTCCTGGCTCCGGAGGGGGAAGACGTGTGCTGCTTGGTCTCCAGGATGAACTCGTCACGCTGCTTTCTGGCACGTACCCGACTGTGCTTGTTGTGGAGGAGCTCAGGGCCTTCATGTTGCTGAGGACAGCTGTGGTGCCTTTCAGGACAGCCCCGGTCTTTGTTGTGAGTGTGACTTCTCGGCTCCAGCGTAGAACCCTCATCCCACTAGCACAGTTCCTGCATCTTGCTGACACAGACTTTCTGGCTTTCACTGCTGACCCTTGGGTCTTCCCAGCATAGATCCATAAAAGAGACTGGCGTGAGTCCTTCTTGTGGGCTCTGGATCAGTTGGACTCATGGGAGGCATTGTGCTGAGCTCTGGGTTTTTATCTGGACTCATGTGGGACATTGCCGTGGAGTTTAGGCTTTTGACTGAATAATCCATGTCTTTGGTGTTGCGGATAGAGTTCCTGCATTTTCCTGTGTTAAATCCCAGTGACCATTATAAAAATATTATAAACTCCATGTCCTAATCCTAGTTGTTCTCTGTGTACAACCCCTAACTACAACACACACTTAAATATACATGCAGTTATACCCTTTAAATCACTTTCTTTTCCTCTCTTTTTTACAATAACAATTGCACTTTTTGGGTTTTATTACTCCCACAGTTCTTACTACTTTTTTTGAAGAGAAAAAAACCAAATGTGACAAAGCAAAACAGAATCAGAACAGAAGGATGGACATAGTACATGATGTAAAAACAGAATAGTAGGTGATCAATAATGGTTACCATTATGCCTCTTGCTATCTTAAAAAGAGTTGCCTATATCATCAGGTACAATAGAATTGAACAAAACAATACTGAACAAAACAAATAAAACCTAAACATTGGAGATCTTACAGGACTTCAAAAGAAGATAATAGTCAAACCAGAAAGGGCATCATAGTGAATCTTATTGCCTTCAAAGTGGTTGCCTATACCCTCAAACTTGATACTATCAAACAAAACAGAATAGAGTAAAATCAGTCAAAACAAGAGCAATACAGGGGTTCAAATCAGGTTAATAGGAAAACAAAAAGTTACTATAATACATGCCGCTATTTTTAAATTTATTTTTCCCTTAATTAAAAAATGATATAAAAATTAATTTAAAAAAAAAGGAAAAGGGAGATTGAGATAAAAGAGGACATAACAACATAACACAGGTCAGAACAGAACAATTTAAACATCATAGTGTTTCACCACCAGATAACCTAACATAATAGTAGTTACCATAGTGTCTTTCCTTGAAATATTTGAGTTATAACTTCATATACTATACCATCAAACATATCAAGACGATGTGAAACCATTTAAGAGAATACAGGGTATTTGAACCAGCTAACAGAAAACGAACAACGATTTCTATATTATCTCTTTGCCTATAAAAAAATTTGTTTATACTATCATATATATTAAAATACAATAAGATAAAACATGTTAAAACCAATGGAAACAGATGAACAACAGCTTGATGGCTTGATGAAGATGATATTAAAGCACTAGCTATTATGATGACTTGTTTTCTTTAAAATAGCTATTCGTAGTATCACAGACAATAAAATCGAACAACCCAAATTAAAACCATTCCAATTAATGAGTGAAAACATTATATGACTTCAAACCAATATAATTGGGAATCATGATTACCACATACTTTTATGTATTCTTATCATTTATTACACTAGGGAAACTATTTGGTATTTATACATGTGAGTTTGATTTATTTTACTTATGAGTATGGTCTGAAGCTGTGCCCATTTATTTATAAATATCTCCATGTGATTATTTTTTATAGCTGAGTAGTACTCCATTGTATAAAAATACCACAACTTTTTTTTATCCATTCCTCAGTTGATGGACATTTAGGTTGTTTCCAGGATCTGGCTATTACAAATTGTGCTGCTACAAACATGGGTGCACATATATCACTGTGGTATGATGCACTTTCAGTTCTTCTGGGAATATGCCTAGAAGTGGAATAGCTGGGTCAAATGGAGCTTCCAATCCCAGCTTTCTGAGAAATCTCCAGACTGACCTCCACAATGGTTGCAACAGTCTACACTCCCACCAACAGTGCAGGAGAGTTCCTTTTTCCCCACAGCCTCTCCAGCATTTGTTGTGGGTGGTTTCTTGATCTTGGTCATTCTTTCAGGAGTGAGATGAAATCTCAGTGTGGTTTTAATTTGCATTTCTCTAATGACTAATGATGATGAACATTTTTTCATGTATTTATTTGCTGTTTGTAATTCTTCATCAGAGAATTGTGTATTCATTTCAGATGCCCATTTTTGGATTGGGTCTTTGAATTTTGGGGGTCTGATTTTTTAAAATTCTTTATATGTTTTAGACAGAAGTCCTTTGTCTGAGGGACAGTTCACTAAGATTTTTTTTCCCAGTTTGTGTGTTTTCTTTTCACTATGCTGGAGATTTCTTTTGACGTGCAGAAACTTTAATAAGAGGTGATCTCAGTTAA